GGGTTAAACTGCAGGGTCCTTTGGTGCTCTGTGAGCTTGGTTGCTTTCTTGCAAACGTTTCATTACCCAACTAGGTCACTCCATCAATGCTAGAAGTTCCATTCCTTTCTAGCACTGATGATGTTAACTAGTTGGGTAATGAAACATCTGCAAGAAAACAACCAAGTTTAGAAAGCACCAAGGACCCCACAGTCTTCCTCCTTCTCTCCACCTCCTCTCCCCCCTCCTCTTCCTCCTCCTCCCCTTCTCCTCCTCTCTAGCACTGATGATGTTAACTAGTTGGGTCATGAAACGTCTGCAAGAAAACAAGAGCACCAAGCCCCGCCCCCCCATTTCAACCCTGAGCTACAAATCTCTCTTATTGACATTAGCACCTGTTAGGAGTAAGACAGACTTTTGCTGCTGTTCCTTTCCCCGTAGAACCGGCAGGGGAAATCAATGCAGGATTTCTCTTTCCTTCACCCAGTTACATCATTCATCTCTGGGATCTGAACCACGAAGGCACCTGGGAGAGCAAAGGCACCTATGTTTATTACACCGATTTCATTATGGAGCTGATGCTGCTGTCCTTGGATTTGATGCATCACATTCACATGCTGGTATAAAGGTTTAATAAAATCATTCCGTGAGTCCAACCTGGGGCAGATGTGACACAGGACCAGCCAACTCGCCGCGGCCAACTTGCCTTGGGACAAGAGTTACACACATGTCAAAAAAATTGTGGAAGAGAATCATAAAAAAATGACAAAGGAGGGATAAAATGAAATGTGAATGACAAGTACTTTGTTTTAGTTATTTCAAATAATTAAACTGAATTGTTGGATTGTCCCGTGTTGAGTTGGCCATAGTGAAGTTGGCTGCGGCGAATTGGTGATGGCGATTTGATTTGATTCACTTCAAAAATGTCTCACTTAGCAACAGTAAATTCGGGCTCAATGGTGGTCATATATCCGGGACTGCCTGTCCTCTTGCACATAGTAGGGCTTCCTCTGTGTTGCTTTGTATACCAGGATGAAAAAGCAAGACTTTTGGGGGGAAGGAGGCTTCCACTAAACCATAATCTGAAAGAGAATCCACAAGCAGTTTGTTTCTGGTAAGGCCACAAAGCACCCCCAAAATATATTTTTTCTTGAAAGTTTTGGACTGAGTGTTGCAGGCTCCAACTGAGAACTGTGTCCTTTTTAAAAATTAGTCTGTAATATAAAAATATAAAAGGAAATAGGAAAAATAGGAAAGGGGAGAGAAAAGTGTAGGGAAAAGAGGAAAAAGAAAGAAAAGACATTGACTTATGACTCCCTTTGGTGCAGTAGAATAAGATAACGTCAAACGTCAACTTTTTACTTTTACATAATAGTATAAACTAGCCGTTTCTATAATAGGAAACCTATCTCATCGGTAAAACCCAAAATCAAAGATTCATTTTCCCCCTCACCTCAAGCATAAAGTCCAGAAGTGGTTTCCAAGTAGAAACAAAAGTACTGGTATTTTTTGCTTTAATCAGAAAAGTCAATTTAGCCGTCTGTGCCAACTCCCGTCAACTTTTGCAGCCGTTCAATCCATTGCGGGAATCAAAAGTTTCCTTCTATTTTTGTGCATAAAGTATTTGTGTCCTGAATAGGACAAACGTTTCATTGAAGAAGGTCCAGCTGGACATCGTGAAATAATTCTCTTTTCTTTATTTGTGTTCTTTCTCTCGCAACGGTGATTTGCTTTCCTGCTCTTCTTGGGGAAAAATATATTTGGAAGCTGTTTGGCAACATTTGGCTGTCAATGGCCAGTCTGGTGATCTTTATGCAGCTGCGTTACCTGTTCCATGAAGTTCAGCGCAGATTGCGGCGCCATAAGAATTACCTGCGGGTGGTTGGGAACATGGAAGCAAGGTGAGCCTCTTCCTTTAATTCTAGAGCGAGAAATAATGAAACCCCCCAATCTAGGGCCGTGTGTGTCTCTTTTGGGGGGGAATTGGGGCGACCTTCACCACAACTGCGAAATAATCACACCACCATACAATATTCTTTATTGGCCAAGTGTGATTAGACATACAAGGAATTTGTCTCTGGTGCATAAGCTCTCAGTGGGTGCACAAGCAACGAACTGATAAATCATAAGATACCAATAGAAAGAGTGCAGAGAAGAGCAGCGGAAACGATTGGAGGACTGGTGGCTAAAACATATGAAGAACGGTTGCAAGAAGTGGGTATGTCTAGTCTAATGATAAGAAGGATTAGGGGTGACATGATAGCAGTGTCCTAGTATCTCAGGGGTTGCCCCGAAAGAATCAAATAAATTAATAAAGTACAATAGGAAAAAAAAAATCCGGAAAATAAATAAATAAATAAATCGCCAACTCCCACCCCCGCCCTGACGACAGACTACTTGCCTTGTGTAGCAAGTGAAATTCTTTCCCCAATTGTGGTCGTAAGTTGGAAACTGCCTGCAGTTTGGGCTCCTACACTGGCAATCTGGCTCACCCTGCAGTCACGTCTCTCTTGGCTTTTCCTAGGTTTGCAGTGGCAACTCCTGAAGAATTGGCCTCCAACAACGATGACTGTGCCATTTGCTGGGATTCCATGCAGGCCGCCCGGAAGCTCCCTTGCGGCCACCTCTTCCATAAGTAAGTCCTGGAGGATGGACGATGACAATAGGCTCCGTGATAGCCATATGTTGAGGTCTACCTATATGGACATCTTATTGGATTGCAGTAAAGCGCTAGGAGTCTTGATGAATTTAGCGGTGTACACTGAATATAAATATATCAGTTTTGCCTAAGGACACTGGTTCCCCTAGATACCTCCAAAATCAGATTGGGGTACCCTGTAAGGGTGGTGTATTTATCTGAACGTTATTTCTTTGCATTTACCAAATACATATTTTGTTATAGTATTTTCTTTTATCTGTTTTGCCCTGGAGTTGGAGCTTGTATTTTATTTTATTTTATGTTTTATTTTATTTTATTATTTTACTTTATTTTATTATTTTATTTTTTTACTTTATTTTATTTTTTTACTTTATTTAATTTATTTTTTTACTTTATTTTATTTTTTTATTTTTTTGATGTCATAAGACTAAGCAATTATCTGTTTCTCTCTCTTCTATCTCTCTCCCTCTTTTTCTCTCATCTTTTAATCATCTATCTCATCTGTATATCTATCTATCTATCTATCTATCTATCTATCTATCTATCCATCCATCGTCTATCTATGTATCTATCCATCCACCCATCCAAAATCATTTATTGTATTACGTACTTTCACCAAATTTTAAGCATTCTCACCAACAAACCTTGGAAGGTTTTCATATTCTCAACTGAAATCTTACAGAATGTTGATATTTTGTCCTGAAATGTTGCAAGATTTTGTTGTTTTTAATCTGAAATATTCTGAACATTTGGGCAGGAACATTGAGCTGAACTTTGGCCACTTAATAATGTATTTCAGTGGGTCCCCTATTATCAGAGAGAGTTTGGCTTTCTGGGAAGGTTTTGTGTGACCTGGGCCAAAATTGCCATTCCCATCATTGTGTAAACCCAACCTAAGGGTTTGAAGTCAGCAGGAATGTGTGGTTTTGATGGATGCTGCTTCTGTTTTTCCCATTCTGGTCTCAAGGCCGCTTTGTTGTCATTCATTACAAGCTGCGCCATAAATATTTTCCAATGTTTTAAGCAGGAGCTAATAAGATAATTAGCCTCTACGTGCCAGCCTTTGCGTTCCCTTGAGCAACCTGGACCCACCCCTTCAGACTTGCTTTTCCTTGAACCTTGGAAGGAATTATTTCTTTCCTTGGGAGATGAACTTAACGTAGGAGAAGAGCAGGCAGAGCTGAGGGTGGAGTTAAACAAATCATGAGTCTAGAGTTGATATGTTCTCACAAAGGGTCCGAGGCCATATCTTTTTTATGTTTTTTTATTTTTAATCAACATAGGTGCTTCGTGAATATTGCATTGTCTGAGTCATTTAACTTATACATTCCAATATTAATAATAATGCTAATAATACTAATAATAGTATTTTTACTTATATATAATAATCATCTTTCATTTTTTACTTGTACACAGTAATAATCTTTTATTTTCTAATTACTACTTCTGTTATCTAACCACTGGTAAAGCACATCCCATGTTAGGAAGTATTCTGTTTCTTCTTTGTCCTTTATTTTTAGTGTCAATCTATCCATCTTTGCACAGTCTAATATCTTTTTAATTGGCTTTGTATCTATAAGAGTATCCTCAATCTTCCAATATTGCACCAATACAATTCTTGTCACTGTCAACACAAGTAATATTAAATATGTATTCCCTCTATTATAGTATTCTGGCATTATATCTAACAACAATATTTTTATTTTTAAATCTATATGTTGCTTCATCAAATTTTCTAGCCACGTGTGTATTTTTGTCCAGAATTTTTTTGCCTTTGGTCCAACTCTTCTTGAATTCCATTGACCCATATTTGGTGCTAGCTTAGTACTGAACTTATTCTTGTGTGTAGACTTGAGCAATACATCTTAACTGGAACATAACATATGGTCTTGATCCTTTGACCCTCACAATTAACAGCAATAGCAATAGCGCTTGGTCTTATATACCACTTTACGGTGCTTTATAGCCCTCTCTAAGCGGTTTACAGAGTCAGCCTCTTGCCCCCAACCATCTGGATCCTCATTTTACCCACCTTGGAAGGATGGAAGGCTGAATCAACCTTGAGCTGGTCAGGATTGAACTCCTGGCAGTGGGCAGAGTTAGCCTGCAGTATTGCATTCTAACCACCATGGTGCTTACCTACCATCTATCTATCTATATTCCATCCATCCATCCATCATTTTCTCTCTTTTTCCCCTTCTCAATTGTCTCTCTGTCTGTCTGTCTGTCTGTCTATCACAATAGCCCTTAGACTTACATACCGCTTCACAGTGTTTTAACAGCCTTTTCTAAGCAGTTTACAGAGTCAGCCCCTTGCCCCCAACAATCTGGGTTCTCATTTTACCCACCTTGGAAGGGTGGAAGGCTGAGTCAACCTTGAGCTGGTCAGGATTGAACTCCTGGCAGTGGGCAGTCAACCTGCAATGCTGCATTGTAATCACTGCATGCCATGGATGGAAGGAAGGAAAGGAGAGAGGAAGGAAGGAAGGAAGGAAGGAAGGAAGGAAGGAAGGAAGGAAGGGCGAGCAATGGCACTTAGTCTTATATACTGCTTCACAGTGCTTTATAACCCCCTCTAAGCAGTTTACAAAGTCAGCCTCTTGCCCTCAACCATTTGGCTCCTCATATTACTCATAAAAATCCATATAAATTTCTCTCTTTATTCTTAGCTCATGCCTGCGCTCCTGGCTCGAACAAGACACTTCCTGCCCTACCTGTAGGATGTCACTGAACATTGCAGACAACCAGCAAGCCCCAGAAGATCACCCCAGAGAGAACCTGGATGGAAACTTGCCCCCTGTGGCAGCAGCCGAAGGAAGACCTCATCTCAACCAGCACAACCACTTCTTCCACTTTGACGGTGAGTTTATTTATTGGAGGGGTCCTTAGTGCTCTCTGAGCTTGGTTTTTTTCTGGCAGATGTTTCTTGACCCAAATGAGGTAACATCATCTGTTTAATCTGAGTAATGAAACGTCTGAAACGTCTACAGGAAAACAACCAAGCTCAGAGAACCCCAAGAATCTCTCATCTCAATCCTGAGCTATAGATATTCTTTCTTTCTTTCTTTCTTTCTTTCTTTCTTTCTTTCTTTCTTTC